AAAAAAAAAAAAAAAAAAAAAAAAAAAAATCAGAACTGAACCAAACCTGTGAACAACTAGAGTTAGTAGTTGTCTACAGAGTATTTTACCTCACATCAAAATACACATTCTTCTCAGCTGCACATGGAATGTTCTGCAAAATAGATCACATACTAGCTCAGAGAACATGCTTAAGTAAATGCAAAGGAATTGAAAGTATCCCATGCATATTATCAGACCATAGTGCAATGAAATTATAAATCAATGGCAAAAGAAACCACAAAAATTTAATAAACACATGGAAATTGACACCCTCCTGAACAACCAGTGGGTCACAGATAAAATTAAATAAATCAGACAGTATCTATAATTAAATGATAATGCTGAAACAATATACTGGAACTTATGGCTTTCAGTGAAAGCAGTCCTACAAGGAAAATTTTTAGCGATGAATGCTTACATCAAGAAAGCAGTAAGCTCAAACAACCTACTATTGAATCTCAAACTTCTAGAAAAAGAATAACTCAAGCCCAAAGGTCGTACAACAGAGAAAACTATAAAGAATAGAACAGAAATTAATGCAGTTGAGACTTAAGAAAACAATACAAAGAATGAATAAAGGAGTTGGTTCTTTGAACAATTAAATAAAATTGACAAACCCTTAGCCAACCTTATCAAAAGAAGTAAAGACTCAAATCCAAGCAGTTAGGAATTAAAAAGGTAAAATCACAACAGATCCTGCAGAAACCCAGATCATCAACACCTATTTCAAGAATCTTTATTCTAATAAGATGGAAAACACAGAAGAAATGGACAGATTCCTAGATACATATGAATTACCAAAGCTGAATGAAGAAGATATAAAAATTCTAAATAACTCAATAACAGTCAACAAAATTGAAGAGGTAATTTAAAATCTACCAATGAAGAAAAGCCCAGGTCCTGATGGATTTACTGCTGAATTCTACAAGAAATTTAGAGAAGATCTAATATTACTATTCCTCAAACTCTTTAATGAAATTGAAAGGGAAAGCCGGGCGTGGTGGTACACGCCTGTAATCCCAGCACTCAGGAGTCTGAGGCAGGAGGATTGCTGTGGAGTTCAAGACCAGCCTGGGCTACATAGTGAGTTCCAGGTCGGTCTCAACTATACAGTGAAACCCTGTCTCAAAAAAAAAAGAAATTGAAAGGGAAGCAATATTGCCAACTTCATTCCTGGAAGCAAGTATTACCAAAACCAGAAAGGGATCCAACCAAAAAAAGAGAACTATAGACCAATCTCCCTAATGAATGTAGACACAATAATCCTCAGTGAGATACTGGCAAACAATGCAGCATATCATTAAGAAGATCAAACACCATGACTGAATTGGACTCATCTCAGGGATTCAGGAATGGTTGAACACATACAAGTCAGTAAATGTACTGCATATTAAGACAGCCAAGGACAAAAATAACATGAACATCTCAGTAGACACAGAAAAAGCACTTGACAAAGTCCAACAATCATTCATGATAAAACCCTATAGAAAATTGGGATAGTCTTTACCTCAACCTGATAAAAGCCACCTATGACAAACCAACAGCCAGCATCATACTAAATGGTCAAAAACTGAAAGCTTTCACTCTAAAATCAGAAACAAGACAAGGATGTCAACTTTCACTGCTTCTATTCCATATAGTTCTGGAAACATTAACAAGAGCAACTGGACAAGAAAAAAAGTACATTATTGGCAGATGACAGGACTGCAAAAACTCCACCAAAAGACTGCTCTCTCTCTCTCTCTCT